AACTCTTTCAGAAAAAATCTATAAAAATATGAAAAAAATATATATTAAACTACAATTGATAAACTTTATTTTAATATAAAAATAAAAATTATTAATTTCTTAATAAAATTATAAATATTAATATGGAGAGAAATTTTTAATTTTCACTATATTTTATTAATAAATTTAGTTCCTAAGTCATTATTTTTAATTATTACTATATATTATTTTTATAATTTAATATTTTAAATTATTATTTTATTAATATTCTTTCATAATTTTATATTTTTAAATAGATTATTAGTTAAAATTTTATGATAAAATATTATATTTATATTTTGAATAAATATATAAAAGTTAATTATATATAGAAAATATACTTCAAATATAAATTTTTCTAGATATTTTGAAACTCTCTTTTGCAGAATACTTATTCTATTTTTATAAATTCTATTTATAATATTTCAAATATTTAAAATATAATTTTATTATATTTTTTTACAATATTTCTTTACTTATTTTGCTTAAGCTAGAGAATATTTTTTTAAAAGTAAAAATATAATTTTTGAAAGTTTTAAATAATATTTAAGCACATTAAGTTTATATTATTATATAAATATTTCAATCTTGAAATAAAGTTTTATAATAATTTATTACAGATAGGATACTTATTATTTGTAATAATTCTTTTTAATATATATTAATCTTGAAAAATTAAAATTATGAAATATTTTACATAAGAAATAGATTTGAGTTTAATTAATAATTAAAATTGCTTTTATTTATAATAAAAAAAAGGAGAGAAAACTAAGATTATTTTTTTCAAGTTTATTTTATATTATATTAATAAATAAACTTATTAATATATGATTATATATACTTTATACAGTCAAATTTTTCTATATATGATTTGTATTACTTTTAATTCTTATTACCTATAATAATTACTATATTATAAATACTAATAATATTAATTTATACAAATATATATAATTTAATCTTAATTTTCTAATTTAAATTTAATGAAATATCTCTAAAATATAATAAATATATTAGAAATTCCAATTAATAATCAGTATTAACTATGAAAGCAATTCAAATGCTATAAATTTCTAGGTTAATTAAAAGCATATAAATAATATAATTAATGTCAAAGAAGAATTTGTTTAATTTTGTTAAATTTTATTTATTATTTAATTATTTATAAGATTATTATTATATAAGATTTTAAATTTATAATTTTTTGATATCTATATAAAAACTTTTGACAGATACTATATTTATAATAGTTATTATAAATATTCAGAATTTTTAAATTTGTATATCAATTATATGATAAAAAATGAATAGAATTTTCAAATATATGTTTTTTGATATGAAGAACAAAGTTACTTAAGACACAGTGGTATATTATCTTATTAAAAATATCATTAAATTATAAAAAACTAAAAACTATCATAAATATAGCTAATTTTGTATCTTTATTGATTATTTAATGAAACAAATATCAGAATTATATCAAAATTTATAAATATATTCTTTGTAATATAATAAATAATTTTCACCTATAATAAATAATAGATCACTTAATATTATTTTTAATAATATAAGCTCAATTTTTGTTGGCTCTGACTTATTCTTTTACAATAAATTTTATTGAGTAATAATTAATAATAATCAATAATAATTCTGTAAAAGATTTTAATCAAATTTGTTTTACAGGTTATATTTATGACGACCACTGTATCAAACGTGCTTTACTGGGTTTTTTTAAAGCATTAGTACGATTTCATGAAAAAATATTATCTACTCACTAAATTGCTATTGCATGTGTAAGTTTGACTTGTGCTGATATAACCAATGACTAGAGCAAAATTTACTAAATAAATTAAAGGTGCAAACACAGTTGAATGTTTGCATTTCTTTTACGAACATTGCCACTTTCAACATGACACGCATCACGCTCTTAACATACTGTGCCACTGGCACAACTCCACTCAATATCAGATAGAATGGAAAACCCGCCCGGTCAAGGAGCTTAGCACCGCTTAAGTAACTCCTGGTAATTATAATGTTATATAATAAAAAATTTCGAAAGATAAATGTGAGGGATTAGATAATTGACTAATATAATGAGGGACTAACTATATAATTGATACAGATCACGACGTTAAACCGATTTCAACCTTATTTGAATTCTGAAGCTTTGCAAAAGAAGTACTTTTTTCAGATTAGAAAAAAGAACTTAATAATACCAAGTGAATTAATGTGTCATGGCGACCGTTGGACATTTGGCGTCCTTCAAAAAAAACTATATAAAGAGATCTAAAGGATATTAAACTCGGTAACCAATAAAAATGAAAATTACATGCTTATTTACTCACAGAAAAGACAAGAAACAAAAAAGCCAAGAACTCGCCAAATGATTATTTATGAATTGGTGGCGAAAATATCAAATAAACCAGAGCACAACAATTCCAATTCAATTTAGAAATAGCCGCTTGCACGGTGTTTCCTGCAAGAAAAGTTGAATAGCTAAATAAAGAGGCAAAATTTTCTACAATTTCAACCGTCATTATTTTATTTTAATCTTCGTTCCTATACTATAACGATAAATGTCGGTACCGTTTGTGGACCGTTATGCAATTTGTTTTTGTAGAGAAAATTACATGTATTTTTTTGTGTATGTATTACTGATACATGTAGATTGTCCACAACCAGTCAAAACCGGTTTTTAAATCATTAAAGAATATCTCATTATGTATTAACGTTAACTCTAGTTGTTTATTTGATTGTCATCATCGTCATTAAATACAATGTAATATAATTAAAAGCGCAAAAAACAAAATTACGCAGCAAGAGTAATTCCTGCTAATATGATATTGAACGCAGCGATGATGCCCATTATACCATTAAGCGAATAATGCACAGTTTTAATCATGTTTGCTGAGTTTGCCTCTTTAGCAATAGCAGTTGGTCTAACAGCTGCGGGTATATTCATGATCGAACTAAATAAAGAAAAAACAGTTAGCAAAGTAATAATATTAGATATTTATTAAATATACAGTACTTGGTTGGCGTAGCGGTAGTGGTGATTGTGGTAGTTCTAGTTCCGGAAGAAGTCGTAGACGTAACGGTGCTTGTTTTGGTGGTTACGGAGATCGATGAGGTTACTGTTTCTGTTCCGGGAACTGTTGTGGTTACGGTTGTTCGAATCTGTAAAATGGTTTTAAATTATGGTTTTTTTCACGTGATCATAAAACACGTGCCAAAATAAATACCGTTTTGGTGATTTGACAATTTACGCTGCTAATCGAGATTAAAAAAATGAACACGAAAACAAAAAAGCTGAACGAATTGGTGATATTCATTTGATTGATTAAAAAATGATTCTTATGGAAAATGTGAAGTTAAATAAAGCTGCACTTAAAATATTTGAGTAGTTTAATACAATTTGAATTCTTTATATATAGACTTTCATCAAGTTAATGCTTTTTCTTAAACTATGCATTAATCAGCATTGATTGATTTGTTCGGATGATTTGATCGATATTTATTAGATATCTTATCAAATGGCTAGACGCTTTAGGGTGTCTGTTGTTGGACCCGAAGCATATTTTACGTTTTTTAAATGAAATATTTGTCTTTGTCTTAATTTATCAAATAAACAAGAATTTGAGTGATAAGGAGTTAGATTTGCTATTTAGCCTATTAATACTATAGATTCAATTCTATTAAATGAAAAGAAAAAGTTTATAGATAAAGAGAGTAAGTTGAATCTTTAGTTGTTCTTTAATTAGCGCAAGATATAACAAAACAGATAACTAAGATAATTTAAATACCTTTTAATTCAAAACAATGAATTTCCAAACCTTTCTTAAAGTTTCCTTCATCCTTTTCCTTTTTTGTTCTTTTATTGTTACTCTGGTCAGAAGTAATCCAAACAACGAAATAACGAATACGGTAACATAAATTAAAATTTCTATCGCTTTTTATCTTATCAAACTTATTGTTTTTTAAATAATGAACAGTTTTTTACTACTACTACAAATAAAATTCCTACTGGAACAACTGAGATCACTACCACCACCACCACATCTGCTCCTATCATGGCTTCCACCTCTAGCACCACCACTATTACCATTACTCGTACAGCTACCACGTGAGTTTATATTTTGTAATACGTTTTTGATAAAAACATGATTTACTATTTTTTTTATTTTTAGTACGATGCACACTCAAACTGGTGCTGCCAGCGCAATTAAAGTTTTAAAGTATATTGATGAAATTGCTACAATTTATGGTGTAATTGTTGGTCTTCTTACTGTTATGTTTATTTTTATTTAATTTCCGTTATGTGATGAAAATTATAAATTAACCACATACAGTAAGTGACAACATTATGAATAAGATATTCTTTTGCGCATTGTAATTACTGCATAAAAATTATTAAAAAAAGGGGGAGATGAGTACTTATCAAGGATACATAAAAAGCGCCTTACAATATTTGAGCAATTTATAAATCGAAATCGATGTATAATAGCATTTGTTCACGTGAAAATTTATAACGGAAATAGAAAATTCGTTTGAGGATTTAAGAAGCATATAAGAACAACAAAAAAATACTGTCTATCTCAATTTCATTAGAAATATTCTCATTCACTTTTCATAATAATATAAATCCTGATCGATTCTTTTCAATCAAACTATCAAAATTTCTTTTTGCGTTCCGCACGTTATACATGTTATGAAACTAATCTTGAGACTTCTGACTATTAAATCATTTTTTTGCATCTTCATTTCAATATCATTTTAATTGTGGATCCCTTCAATGATTACTTGTCTAGCTCCGCTAATGGTTTCTATTATCAGCCGAAGATTATGTCAAAATCGAGAATGGTATTTACATCTCATCATTTATTATACTATTATAATTTTAATAAAATTGTTATGTACTACTTTTTTATCTCTTTAAAAACAAATTTTAATAAATTTTTTCATAATATTAAATTACAAAAAAATGTTAATTTAATTCTTATTTCAGAATATTTAGTATATTAAGAATTTTACTTCAAATAGAGCTTTATTTTTTAATTATTAATAAATTTAATTATTCTGTGACATGCAAAAATAATAGTTATTGCACAAAACTAAATTTCTTTTATATTAATTCTTAGATTGACTTCTTTATCTCTATATTTACTTAGATATATATATATATATATATATATATATATATATATTAATATATAACAATAATTGTTAATTTATATATATTCTATTATTAAAGAAAAAACACTGACAAAATAAAGTAGAAAAATATCAAAAGAATTTTTTTATTTTAAATATATTTAACTTATTAAATAGCAAATATTTCGCAAATAGATTAAAATTATAATTAATTTAATTAATTTGTAAGAAACCTTTATATACTAAAAAGTAAAAAAGAAAAATATGTATTAGAGTAAATATCGGACAAATTTAAAGTATTATTAGTAATATAAATTATATATTCATATATTCATTTTTAATTTCTAAATTTACTATTTAAGCTCGACTTTTAATTTTTTAATATTTATCTTGTAAAATTGAAGTAAATAAATTTTTAGAGTATTATTATTGTCACCCCTCCAAGTGATTAGTGAATTGCCAGTTTGGATCGATTCAAAACCGGACCAAATTAATTTTGATTCTGAATTTTCATTATGAATCATGGACAACATTCTATGTAAAATTGCCTTCCCAACATTTTTAATTAATAGTCCAAGACAGATTTATGCATCAGTTTTCTTTTTTCATCTCTTTGATTCTTATTGGTTAGAAAATTCAAAACAAACGTTTATTTTTGAAAGTAACATGTACATGTATCTCGAAATTTTCTAACAAAAAGTGTTCTTCGCGAAATTTTGCTGTACATTTTCAACATGCAATATAATTTTAGCTTAACCCTAACCAAAGTGCTTGTTAATATTTTATATCTTACGATTTTGATACTCTATTTTTAATATATTGTTTTATTTAATATTAAAATGCTTTGTAGATTGAAACTCAACGAAACTTATATACAAAAGATTGCTTAATTTTAATTCAAATATAAAACAATAGATAAATTATTAAAAACCTATACAAATTAATAATATGCAAGATATTATTTTATCTGCTAAGTGGTGTATTATATTACTTGATTCAAATTGCAAAAGCTAGTATTAACTTCATTTATATCAATTTTCAAATCAAAAAAAGGTCTTATTGAATCAAGATTAATAATGAATGAATGACAATACTTAATTATCTTCAGCTGATCTAATCAATATATTAGTATTACAAGTTCAAATTTAAAGATAGCTCCTTAACTGTTACAATATTGTGATAAATAAGTATTACTGGGTTGCAACCTTAGCAATTTTGAGTTGCAAAATTGTGGCAAATAGAGCATCATTGTGTTGCAACAGTTGTGGCACCCATTACTAGTACAGTACAAAAAATTCATGAATAATGAACAAATTCAATTTTTTAATTTATATATATATATATAAATAAACTAAAAAAAGACCTAAAGAAAAATTACTAATTGTAGCAAATATTAAAATGTAGGTATTATTTATTATAAATTATTAATAATATTTTTTGAATCTAAACTATCGTAAAGTCCCAATAATAAACAACCCCTAAAATAAGCAACCCCTCCTTCAGACCCAAAAGTCTTAGAAAAGTTGAATAAGCAACCCCTATTTGCGATAGTAATTTTTAATATATGGCAGTAAATTTTTTCCGAATATTTCGATAACCAGTGACCAGATTCAAACGAAAAAAACTGCCAAAATGATCGTCTCAATAAGGCGAATCTGATGAGCTATAGAACATTCGATTTGGATTATTAGTCGTCGATATATTTACGTTTATTTAAAGGGCTCGAAAATAAGCAACCCCCTTAAAAATTGACCTCAAAAATGATGATGTAGGGGGTTGCTTATTATCGGGACTTTACGGTAAACATTTTCAGAATATTTATTATACAGATATCTCCAATAGTATTCTGATAATATTTGAATCTAATTAGTGTATTTCGGATAATCTTCTACGAATATAACGATAATTGAAAGTACCTGATAATTTTCTATGTTTGAATCTAATTTAAGTATTTCAGTATTACTCTCCGAAAATGAACACATTTCGGAGCAGAATCAAAATAATAAAAATCGGAGTTTTCAGAGTATATAACCGGCCAAAACCGGATCACATTCATCAAAAATTACCAAAATTAAGTTATTTTGGTTTTACCACTGTATACCATTTGATTACCACCGTCTATAAAAATATAGTTGTAGCTGCGTGAAAATAATGACGCAATCTACTTTAAATTACCAATATACCGACATTTTGAATTCCATATCTAAAGATATTATGAGAAATTACATGCAAATAGTGATCATGTAATCGATAAATGTAAGAAAGTCACCGCAACCACAATCTTTCTTTATAGAGAGTCTCTTATATAAAAAATTTTTTATTATTAATCTTTTAATTGGAGTCTGTAAACTCTTTCTTATACCAAGAGTTGACTGTATATGAAGTACATGTATAACGATAAACATTAAAAATTTTCGTTATCGTTATATAAAACCTATTTTAAGTAAATAATGCATTGTGGGCATCGATATACATGCGCGATTTTAGAAATAAAATAAACAAGCAAATTAAAATATCGTTATCGTTGTCTATCTAAAATGCACTTTTCATTAACATTTATTCTTAGTTTATCAAAATTGGAAATTAAAAGATAACATTTACCCCCAATCTCTTCTATTTATAAAATCAATCATTTGATATATGCATGGAATGTTTTGTAATTTATCTGATTTAACAATGTCTTTTTTAATGCAAAATACAATGACAGAAATTTTACGAATCTTGTATTCAAATTAGTAATTATAGGGATGCGAACAACTTATTTTCTCCGGAAGAGGCAGTATAGAATTTGATTAATTTGGGCTATAAAGAATTTAATTATTAAAGTTATAATTCGGCAAACACACAAGCATATAGAAAGAATCCTCCGTATGATTTGCATAATGATATTTACAAATTGCCACACTTATAACTAAAATGTTGCAATAATGACATTTTCCATAATAAATATTTTAAATCGTTGTTTTATTACCATTTTGATCAAATATTATTTTCATTTACATTAAGTTCCATTTAACGAATACATTTTAAACATTCAAAAAGAAATTATTATTTTTTCACATGGTTCATAGACGATGAGCATGAATGGATATTAGATAGATAATGAGCGATGGATTTGCAGAAAATTTTTCTCATGTAAAAAAAGGCTTATAATTTCCTTTCGGATCAAACATGAATGACGATAAACTTTAAATCCGTGAAGATCTTAATAAAACACGGATATCTCTACATTTACAAGTTGGTGGAAATTATTAATGCGTAATTGAAGATGGCTTCCTGCGAACTCATATATTATATACATGTATCAATACTAAATAAAATATTCGGCGGATTAATTTCTCCGATTTGGGAGTTATGCGTTAAGATGATTACAAAAATACATACATGTATAATGCAACTATTAATCCTTTTAGTTATTGATATTTACGTAACGTATCGACATTAATTAATAAAATTCACAGCTCAGAAATACACGTTTTCTATTATTAAATGCATAATTTCAATAGGGGAACAGGAATAAATCCATAAATGATTTTGTGCACAAACTTTTATGATTCCCAAGTAATTAAAATAGGCCGAAATAAAGAATAATGAGCAATATTGGCCGATAAATACGTATCTCATTTGTTCTAATAATATTACCAAGACCTTTGTGATATCCCAATTAGGTATTTTCTGCTATATCAACCCAATAAACCTTAAAATTTTCTGCAGAATGGGCTGGCTTGAAAAGTAAGATTACTTCATGTATGTCGATACAAGTATGCATGTACATGTAAAACGATGAGATATCGATATTCCTAAAATGTATAAAACAATGTTGTGAACCACATTTGGTTTGATTCAAAGTGGCGAGTGAAATTACACAGAAAACACGTTTTCGGCAACAAGAGAAAAATTCAAACACAAGTGTAATATGATGTAATATAATATTTAATGATAATACATACTAGTGCAGTATAAAAATAATAAAAAGCTAAGAAAAAATGTTATATCTTGATCAACTGCGCCATCACCATTGTTAACCAAATTTCATAATTCGGATTTTAAAGTCCAAAAAAAATTAATTAAAAAGAAGCTTTGAACCTTTGCGATTAATTTCTTCTTTGTCATCAGCGTAAAATTTTCACACGATAGACCAGTATGCCTCAAGTGAATAATAAATTTAAGTTCAAAATTTCACAATCGATGTTATGCCTTTCGACTGACACAATTCCAAAAATTGATGTCCCGTTCCCACCAAAACTTGATCCTCGGGAATGTATCACACTCAAAAAAGATGGAAATATACCGTTAAAATCTCCAAATTGTTTTATTTTGTATAGATTAGCGTTTTATAACGAACTTCGAGCTTCAGGATTTAATGCTAAACAAAAAGTTATATCCGAGATGGTTTCACAGTCATGGCAAAAAGAACCTTTAAATGTAAAAAAAACTTACAAGGAACTCGCTCGTAAAGTCCATTATGAACTTATCAAAATGCGACGCCATTTCTTGGGCTTAACAGATGACATTTCCCCTCCTATTGAGACTTCAGATTCATCGAAAGATATCCCTTCTCACACTATTCAACCAACGTGTTCGAACACATCTCAAAATAGTGAGGCAAATCAATATCAAAATATAAGTACAAATACGAATGATGACTCACCGCAATTCAAACCATTAGAATATGAGAGAGTTGATTGTGATACGAGTTTTCCAATTTATTGCGATCCAAGTTTCTCAGCTGATCCTAATTCGTCAATGTTCATTGATCCAAACTTGCAGATTTTTAACACTCCGTTCTGTTTTGCAGATGAAAACCATTATGAATTCTTTGAATTTTCGCCCTTTTCCTATAATTTTGAAAACCATTCATTCCAAGAACTACAAGAAAGGTATCCGGAAGATGAAACGGGGAAGTCAAATAATTCTCAGTGTCTTAGTGAAATATTGGAAGCTCATGTCCCTTATTTGACTAATACATAATTTCCGCATCGTATCTTATTTTCTTACTTTATAATTCTATATTTAAAAAATTATGTAATATATATCTATAATATAAAATTATTTTAGATTCATCATTTACTCAAAATTCAATTTATCCTTATATATAATACACACATTACTCAAAATTATCTTAAAATTATCTTAAAATTATCTTAAAATTATCTTAAAATTATTATTTATATCGATATATTTTATCACTTCGTTTTATAGAGACTAAGATACTAAGCTTGTATGATTTTTAATAACCTTAATTAAATTATGGATCATCACGATATTTAGTATTTACAAAACTTTGAGAATGGATTTCGTCAGCTCACAGCCACATCACCTTTGACAAAAAAAAATAAATGTACACGGAAATCATTCATGCATAAAAATTAAAGCCGAACGGGACGCGATTTCTATTGTCCAATATAGTATGTAAACAAACATAGAATTTGAATATTTTGAGCAACGCAAAGAATTTCTATTTCGAACAATTACATGTACATGTACTATAGTGAAAAAATTTTTAATTGGTGGGTGTGAAAAATTTTCAACTTTTATTTGGGAAGAAACCAGATGTTGAATGCAGTTCCTTATTACATTTCTTTATCTTTTGTGATATTTCTATCCTTTATTAACCGGCATACTTCAGGGAAAACAAAAAGATGATTATAACTAAAAAAATTTTCAAATTACGTATACATGTGAATTAAGAATGGAATACGAGAATAGATTTGTTCAAGACTTTTAATGATATTAACTCCCGAAACACCAAAAAACAAAATAAAAAATTTTTTATTAAGAGATCGATCCAACGATTATGGTTAAATACAATAACACATCCAAAGCATTTAAAACAAACACGTATAAGATGCAAACTTTCATATATACATATAGTACCTCGAATTGTGTCAAGTTCGATGAAGGCATTTATTTATTTTTGTTATACAAATTTGGATTTACATGTATCGTTTTATGATCAGCAGTTACTCAACACGCATATATGTGCCACATCTCTCACTCCGCACGCTCCCACGCACTTTTTAGAAAAGTTCAATTGAAGTCACACCTGAACAAAGAGGTGGCATTAAATACTCGGGTGACACAAAGAAGATTGCAGACGTAGATTTTTGTCATGGCCACCACAGAGCTCTGACTTCAATCCTATCGAGGAACTTTGGACAATTAAGTCTGGGCTTCGAAAACATAAATCCGGATCTAATTTTCCGTGAACTAGAAAAAATGAACATAAAAGAGTGGGTGGGAATCAATTTCCAAAAAATTATATCGCAAACTAATCACCTCTATGTCCCTCGAATGAAATAATTATTTTTTTGCTTTGCTAAAGGAAGGAGTCATCTAAAATATAAATAAATAAAAGTGATTCAATATTTATTTCACCGCCTGTAAGTAAATCTTAGATTTTCAACTTGATGAAAACTCAATTACTTAATCAAAAGAGTTAGTAAAATTTTGGATTTAATGAATCGAGAACACCAAATTCTAATGATGTAATGAATTAAAAAGGTGAATTTTATTTTATTTTCATAGATGGTTCTAATAGTGGTAATTATTGTTACCTTGTGTTTCACCAAATAACAACAAAACCATCCTCTCCGAAAATTGTCCATAATTTTAGAAAAATTCTATTAGTTCTTACTTCATTTTTGCTTTGGAAGATTATTCGAATCCTTTGTTGAACCAGCAACAAAAAGACTCTTTGCAGTCAGCTTGAATTTTTATCATTTAAACTACGAGAAAACTCATAGATATGTATACTTGTCAAATATTAACTATCAATATAGCTGTCATCATTGAAAGTAGAAAACATCGATCGCTATTATTTAAAATTTTAAGATAATAACGATAATAACGATAAAAATGGATGATTTTACATCTAAATAAGTATTAGCTTCATAATTGGCTGTAGCCTTAAAGTTTGTTACGCAGTACACATAGTATAGTCACATCGTGTGACTATAACGAGAGTTATAATCGATATACATGTACATGTACATGTATATCGATTATGATTGGTACATGTATATCGATATGATATGATAGTGACAAATGCGAGTGTGACTATAGCGGGTTTGCTTATACATGTACAAGTAAACATTTAATGTTAACGAACAATTTTAAGTCGTCGTCTGAGCTTTTTGTAAAACGATTATTTTTTTTTAATGACCGATCAAGAAAAGAAACCAGATAATTATGTTCTTTTACAAGGGTCTGGGGATCATGTAGAAATTTCTGTTGATGTGCAGGTAAATTATTGACAAGATTATATATTATTAAATTATTTTCATTAATTTATCATTATTTGAAAGGACGACGATAATAAAAGCTCCAAAGGATCGAAAATCTTTAAAGAGTTTACCAACAGACATTTCAAACATAGAAAAGAAAAATCTTCGGATGATGACTTCTACGTAGAAAAATATGGAATAAAGCGAATAGAATTAATTAATCCAGAGCGCGAAGTATATTTATTACTGGATGGAGCTGATGTTACTGTATTTCTCGAAATGCAAGAATGGATCAAGAACAATCCACATAAATCTCTCAAGCAAACGATTAATGAATTCGGTATTTGATTTTATAACCCTTTGCATAATTAAATTAATAAAATATTAATATATAAGTTTTCAGAAAAAAAGCCAAATGCCGACAAAGCTGACGCGTTCGCCAAAATCTTATATGATCAACCATTTCCCGATTTCATCCTAAAATATTCGAATAATGAAGATGAAAAAGATTTACTACCTAATACAAAACGTCGCTTCAAATTTGAGCGACTACTTTTGGAAGCTGGCCTTGTCGTTGAGCATGAAGAAGATATGTATTCTGAAAACACATATGTTAAAATTTGGACCCCGTTTTATCGCTTGTGCGAAGAAGCACATCGTATGAGGTTAAAACTTCCATTGGACGTAAGTCTCAACCCAAAATGTCTTGCAAATTCTTTTAAAAATTTTGACATTTAGCTTTTGTTTTAGGTTAGCAGAATGAAGGAGTTCGAATGGTTGGAAGAGAGACATTCATTTCTATCAAAGCTTACAAGTCACTTCTCTCGAAATATTGACTTGCAAAAAGAATCAGCATTCTTCAAAAAAGACAAATTGCGTCAGTATAAAGGTGCAGAGCTTGACAAAGATTTTGGCGAAATTGCTTTAAATTTTTGGAGCGGTGCGAAACGCAATTATGTGGTTAGTATATACATTTCAAAGTTATAACCAATTCTAAATTCATTAACTAATCAATAGTATTGATTTCAGACACATCACATAATAATTACTGCTAATCAAGTAAAAATGAAAAAGTCACCACAAGATGAAAACCCGATTTATATTAAACATCGTATCAGATCCTTAGCTATAAAAGCATTATTAAAAGACGACGTATACACAGGATTTTTCACACTACACGATGGACCTGTTAAACCACGGACAATCACTTACCCAGAAAATCTCCGGAGCAAACTATTTAGAACGTGGGTCAAAAGTCATGGAAGCCAACCTTTGCAGGAAATTAGAGAGTATTTTGGCGAAAAGATGGGCTTGTATTTTGCTTGGTTAGGTGAATTATTTTTTTATTATCGAGCTATAATGCTTTCGAATTGTTTTGTTTTTTAACTTAGAAAAAACCCAATTCTCTTTCATTTGTAGGCTTTTATACAACGTGGTTGACAATCCCTGGGATATTAGGCTTCATTACTGTTATTTATGGTTTAATCGCAGCAGCAATGTAATCATATTTTATCAAGTTATTGTTCTTTACATTTGCTTAATATATTTCTTGGTTTATTGATTAGAGAGAATGATTTTACCAAAGGCATCAACGGAATTTCAACAATATGGGACAATGCGCTTTCTTTCCCTTACGCTCTGGCGATGTCTATCTGGGGTGAGCAAACTTAATGTTTTTTCTTTTATTCATATCGATTATTTATCATGATTGCTGGTATAGCTACTTGCTTTCTCGAGACTTGGAAACGATTTAATGCAGCTCTGGTTTATGATTGGGATACTTCTGATTTCGAGCGAGAGGTATTAAATTTCTAGTTTTTTTTTGTCTTCATCTACTGCTAATATATTAACTAGAGCGAAATTGCTTTTAAAGGAACAACCAAGGCCTGAATTTAAAGGAACAGGTAATAAAAATATTATTTTTTTATTACAAATATAATATCAAACTAAACTTTTCTATAGTTATACGGAAATCTCCAATTACATCCAAAAAGGAAATTACATTTCCATTAAGAGAAAAATTAAAAAAATTATTAATATCATCAACAATCGTCTTCGTTTCGGTAAAATAATTTAATTATTACGTGATTACCGTTACTGTTTTTCTAAAGTTGACGTTAAAGTATACATGAATTTACCACACGTAACAGATTTGTATTGTCACCGTTACGATCGGCATGTTGACAAATGTTTTACGTTTGAACATTGGGGTTTTGAGCAATGTGGTTGCAAGCTTAGTGAATTTGGCGACTGTTTTGATTTTAAATTTGGTAAGCTGAAAATTTTTTTTGGATCTTGAACATTGAATAATTGCGAAAATCTTTTTGCTGTCAGCTTTACGAAAAGCTCGCTGTGTGGCTCACTGATTATGAAAATCATAGAACTTCGACGGGCTATGAAGGTAATTTCAATCGCGAGTGATCTTTTGCGTGTTATAAGTTAATGTAATACACTATACTCAACTATCCGATTTCATTTTTCGTCTCAAGATTCCTTAACCTTGAAAATATATTTATTCGATTTTGTCAATTATTATTCGGCGCTTTTTTATATTTTATTGTTCAAAGGAAAGGCGGCACCTTTTCATAATGTATGGTTTAATGAAGAGCTATCTAATTCATGGAATTTTTCATTTGATTCAAAGCTCTGTTTAAAATCTAACATCTATGCTAGAATGCAGACGTATGCCAATTTCATAGTTGTATGGTTGAACTAACAATTCAATTGGCTATTATTCTAATTGGTAAACAAGGCATTAGTCAGATCCAAGAAATTTTTGTTCCGTAGGTTTCATTTTATCTCTAATATGCTGCTGCTTTTTTATTAAATGAATAATCATTAAAATCTATTTTTGTTATTCATAAAGGTGGATAACGAGCAGAATGCATAGAGATGTATTAAAGCAAGATTTGGAAAAGTTAAAAGAAGTTTACAAGTCTGCTTCAAGAAAATCAAAAAAGATACCACAATGGATTTATGATAGTAAATTAGCACCTGCTGATGATAATGTACGGTCGGAATACCAAGAATTAGGCAAGCTTATTTTTTTATTATTTGAATTATATCTGATCGCGTTCATACAAACTAATGATCCTATCAATACTTTGTCCATGCAAATACAGTCGTACAATTCGGCTTTATTTCACTATTCGCAACCGCGTTTCCTTTAGCTCCGTTCTTCGCCTGGATTCATAATGTAACAGAGATTCGCAGCGACGCATTCAAGGTTAAAAATGATTAAAGAAATTTTAATTATCTACATTCTGGTGAATAAGTTTGTTTTTACCAAATACACTTTTTCCGCAGTATATTACAACATTACAAAGACCAGTCGGCTTTCAAGCGCAAGATCTTGGAATGTGGGAAAAAATTCTGCATTTCGTGTCGTTGCTCGCAGTAATTACAAACGCAACGATCATCGCGTTTCAATCAAGCTACATGCGTGGAATTTTTGAGCATTTTGTTGGTGATAACGAGGATCGATTGTTGATTGCTCGATTGGCTTTCATTTTGTTTTTCGAGGCAAGTTTAATCATTTAAATTTTATAGTTTTAAATTACTGTTAACCTCATGTTTTCAAATACGTGTAGCATTTCGTATTCTTCATTAAAATACTATTTGCCTATGCGATTCCCGATGTCCCGAAATCGGTGCGTATCGCTATCGAGCGTGAACGATATTTGACGCGTCTCGCGCTCGAAGGCGAAGAACCGGCAGCTGATGAGTTTCTTGATGAGACAGAAACTGCCGAAAAGATGTTCGATAATAAGAAAAAGACAATAAAGTATTTGAATAACGAACAAAATAAAGCTTTGAAGGAGAATGAAATGTAATGTACTAATCTATATTTTTCTATAAAAGTATTCTAAAGAGTAATCTTGTGAGAAAAAGATATTATTCACTTATTTTTTTTTTTAAGAAAAAACATTCGTCTCTTTATTATACATAATCACTTAGAATTAAAAAGTTTGTGTTTTTGTGACCTTATATTATCCAATTTTTGTTGATTTGTATGAAAACTTTAGCGCTTCTAAATTAAATTATGAATGAATTAGTATGTTTCCAAGAAAAAGTCTGTATAATCTGAAGTGAGCTTACTGTTAAATTCCATTTTCTGTAAATTCAAATTTTTAATTTTGAATTGGAGTATTTTGAATACACTGGCCTCTGTTTCATTAAATATAGGCAGCAGCTTAAAAATTTTGGTCGTGTAGCTTAAAGTACTTTCAATGAGAAGAGGTATAATTATAAATCTTGCTGAAAGAGCCATATCAATTTTGGATACTCTGGCTGCTCCATAGCCTGGATAACTTTACGGTGCCATTTTATCGCTTCATGAATATCTCTAAAAGTTCCCATCCCATATTGCTGGCGATCAGCAACCAAAGATTGAGCCATGGTATTTCCAGCGGCAGCAGCACGACACAGCCAGTAGTACCCTTTTCGTAAATCTTGTTTCACGCCAAACCCATGCGAATAACATTGTCCAAGTTCGGTCTGGCCGCCACGATGACCAACTTTTGCCGCTTTTTGGAACCAGAAAAATGCTTGATAATCGTCTTGAAGTGTTCCAATGCCAAGCCGAAAACAGAGACCAATGTTGTGTTGACCGAATGCATTTCCAGCTAGCGCTGATTTATGATACCAATAGAATGCTTTTGACATATCCATGTCAACTCCATCAGCATAATCGTAACAGCTGCCCAACTCATTTTGACCAAGTGAGTCGCCCATTTCCGCGGAAACCTTATACCAACGAAATGCTTTTTCTTGGTCTTGCGCTGTCCCTATTCCCCAACGATATAAAAATCCTAATAGACATGCGTATTTCTTGTTGGTGCTTCGATTTTTTATGCACTTAAATAAAGTGCTGTGTGATATTTTTTTTAATTTCGACCAATTTTTTACGTTTTGAACAACGACGTCATCATTTTCCCAATTTTCGTTACTATTGTTGAAAATCATCAAGATCTCTTGAGCTATTTTTTCATCGTAGTAATTGTCGTCTTCGTCGTCTTCTTCCTCAATTGAATTTAATTTATTATTGTTATGAAATGAATCGAGAATTTCCATGGTAATAGCAGTAATATTTTTATCTCAGGAGATTGAATATATTTCTTAGACATGGGTACGTAATTGGCAAACTAATATATGGTGTGGTTGCAAAATGTATGTCACTGCTGAAAATTTTTCCTCAAATCAGAAATTATATTTTCACCTGTTTGTATAGACTACTACGTAACGTATATTGCTTCTACGACAGCAGCAACAAGGTGCATTGCATGAATTATCGTTATCATTATTGATTTACGGATTTCCCTTTGGGGAATCGACGTAACCGGTACATGTAATAAACTGGTTTTAGGTATGTGAGATGAACTACATGTACATGTATAACCTATGAATTTTGTTTATCACAAGAAAAACAAACTCTGTATCGGTATATAATTTCTCTTTTATCCTTGTAAGCTATAAAATGGCGACAAGGATTTGTAATATACGAAGATTTAAAGTTGAAATTTACACCTAACTATTTTTTATGAACTAAATCATGTACTTTACGCAAAAGATCCAATTTTACTCATCTTCATCTTCATCGTATCCTTGTCAAGGAAGAGGAAATCCTTTATGATAACACAATTCGCGAAAATTCTAGCGCGATTTTTAATATTGGGTGACTTTGCACAGACAAGGTAAAACCTATAATCGAGAAACGGAACATGACACTCTTCAACCGAATTCTCACTTGATTTTTGCCGCGGCGGCAAGCATTTTTCGGGAATATAAAAAGTTTCCATTGTCGATTTTCGCCATATGTATCCCATGTTCCCAGCAATAATGCTGTAAATCGCCTTGTTTGTCGAGATGAAAGTGCGTAAATCGTCCAGACGAGAAACTCAGATAACAACCCAAGAACCTCGTTAGGAATTCTTTTTAATTCGCCTAAATTGCTAGCGCAAAACGACTCCTTCAATTGTGGCAAGACGATACGGTTCTCGATTAATTCTTCGTAGCCAGGAATATAGATAGGATTACTTATTTTCCATGCTTCAGATTCATTGCATTCAAATTTCCCGTTTGACTTGAAATGACGGTTCATTGTCTCGTGATTGAGCACATTGAAGCGGTAATTATTGTTGATAATTTCATGAGCGAATCGGTGAAAAACAGTGACATAGTTAACTCGATATTTTCCTATTTTTGCTGGCTTATCATCCTCAGGGAAATTTGCCTTACACCAGGCAGTCAAGTATTCATTCAACATTATAAAACAATTTTGATGCATTAAAAGTCCAAAACCATCAGCGTAGTCGCTCAAAGGATCGTCAAATACACATTCAGCCCAAGATTCAAAATCGACAATCACCGAGTAGGTTAGGATACGCGGCATTTGTTCATCAAAATTAAGGATCTCAATTGTGAATGTGTCGCTATGGGTAGGGATTCCATCGAATTCATGACTGCTGAGACCGCGATCGGCCCATTTAGCTGGACAAAGGACGCGAATTGATTTAGATGATCTTCGTGGGCTTCAGAATATTCAGACGCGTCATCATGAACATGATCAAGGTCATGTATGCAACTATCATCAAATGTTATTTCGATATGTCGTAATAACATAGAAGCTTTTTCGTATTCGTCTAATTGATCATAGAGGGATGTTCGTTCATTTCCTTGTTCGGAATCTGAATAATCTGATTCGGGTTCAGTCTCCTCGTTTTGTTGTTGATAATTATTTGAATTATCATTATTGAAACCTTCATGAAAATTTCCTTTGCGTCAGCAGCCGCTACCGTCAACTTTTTTTTATCTTCAATTATACGAATACACATTGATACTGGCCCACCACAGACAAAACACGTACAAACCATTTTCTTCGCATAAATTTTATTAAGGTGTTACTTATCAATACAGTAAAAAGACAGTGGTTCGGTTTCCTAATAAAATATAATAAAAATAATATTTTTATTATATTTTACTATATTTTACTATATTTTATTATGAAATTTATCAAAATTAAGTCTTTTTTTGACTGGCATTTATTCAATAAATATCAACTAAAAATTTTTTTTAAATTATAAATATATTTTCTATATCTTTAAATATATTTCGATAAAATTATTTTCATACTTGCTTATACAAAATATTTTTAAATAATTTTTTATAATACTTTAACCAGGATAGCCTCCAGTCTACCATCTTTAGCATGTGATTTCACAAAATATTATTATATTAACATACTTTGTGACCTTAGAAAATTTTGTTTTCATCATCTTAAATATAATGTCAAATTTTCATAAATTTTTAGCAATTTCTTATTAAGTTATAGGTGAAAAACATGTCTGCTATTACTTTTCATGCTGACTGTAGTAGAAGTATTTTTATTATTATTATAGACAAATTTAACTGCTATTAGATTTTTATTTTATCAGTTTTTTCAATCTTATTTATATATTATATATATTTTAAATATCTCTTCTAAAATTTTATTCAATCTTTTTATTTGACTATTTGATTGTAGATAAAAGATTATTAATATTGCTAATTTTATTTTAAGTTATTTAAATAATAACTTTCAGAATTCAACTGTAAATTTAGTATCTTTATTTGAAATTATTATTAATAATAAACTTAGTAATTTAAATATATTCTCAAAAAATATTTTTGTGATATCTGATATTATAACTATTATATGTATTGATATAAATATATTTTTTTTAATAATTTATTAATAAAAACTACTATTATATTTTATCTAGACTTGATAATAGGTAATTGAACTATAAATTTATAGTAACTTATTTCTATTTGTATTCTAAAATAAGAGTAATTAAAGTAATTCAGAGAGTTATTAATTATTACTTTTATTATATTGACAAGATTTATAACTGGTAATATATTTATAAATATTTTTATTTATCTTGAATTAATAGAATTAATAAAATTATTAAAATATAGCTTGTTTATGCTAATATATCTAATAATTAATACATTATGAAATTTAAATAAAATCTTTGCTTTTAATATCTTATCATTTAATATAGTTATATAATTAATAATTTTAAATATAATAAATTTTTTTAGCTTAAAATATTTAGTTTTTACTTATTATTTTGATATTATACTATTAAAATTCTGTAAACTTTCAAATATTTTGCAAAATATTTATTTTTTTATACTTTTTGATTAATTCTTCTTTATTAATAAGATTAATAATAATTATTATAATTTTTACTAGATGTGATTAACAAGAAAATATATCTGTAATAATATTATTTTTATTAGATTTATATTTGACTTCAAAATTACTTGCTTGTAAAATTTCTAATTATCTCTTTAAAAGATTATATTAGATCTTAATATATTTAAAAAAAATATAATTTATAATTATTATAAACTTTTATCCTCTTAAATATGACTTTCAGAATCTAATTATATATATAATTACTAATAATTCTTTCTTATATATCAGATAATTCTGTTTTATTAGTAATAATTATCTTGATTTAAATATTATAAATTAATTATTTTATTTTGATTTTAACTTAATATAGTTCTAATAATAAAATTAAAGATATTAGTAATAATTTTAAATAATAATTTAGAATTAAATAATAATAAAACTAATACTAATATAAAATATTATTTAAGATCATAACAAAATTATACTTTGTCTTGCAAATTTTTATTATATTATATATTATACCATTATAATTTATTATACTGCAATTATCTTATTTTATTAAGAAAAGTTATATTATATAATTAAGTTATTTTAGCTATAGAAAGTTAGTAGAATTTCTTTTCTTTTTTATTCTACTAATATACAGAGAGTGAAAAGAAATATTAGATATTTCACACATTTTTAAATTAAATATATCATTAGATCTTGTATTTTTTTTGATAATTATTTTATAATAAATTATTTACATATAGTAATAATCTATAATCAAAACAAATCTTATCTTCATATAATACATTCAGATATTATAAAGCTACATGCAATTTTCTCTTAAAAAATCATTCTTTAAATTTTACCATATGATATATCATAAAAAAAAATTAACAGAAAGTTAGAAAGTTGAAATTATTATTGCAAAAAAACTTGATCACATATATACCAAGATCTTTAAGACTGTAGTTTATTTTGTAATCTGCATGTTAAAAGTACACAAGCTTAAAAAAAATGATCAAATCATCTATCAATTCATAATAAATTAGCATGCAACTATCTTGAGACTTCAGTAACTGTAACAATTTTGATTGAGTTATCTTCTTTTAGATCTCTTTTAGTTTAGATCTTTATTTTGCACTATCTGTATAACAGATTAGCTTTGTATTACA